ACTCTGGTAGGTTTAGGTCATAGATAAAATTGTCTAAGCCAGTATTCTTAAGATTATATGTAGCCATATAAGGCAAATATTTGATACACTTAATAAAGATACAAGGCAAGACCTTACCTTAATACCGAAAAAAAAAAAAAAATTTAATTGTATCCAGTATTTTTTAAATAAAATAATAATTTATTAATAATATAAGATTGGATATAGGTTTTATGCATGCGCATGATTGAGGAATCATGCACATTAATGCATATTCATACGCATGATACCATTTCATGCGTATTTTATCTATCAAAATTTCTCTCCTCTCGATCGTTTTTGTCTTTTTTATCATGCAATATTATACACATGAAATGATTTGTGTGCATTAATGCGCATTTATGCGCATTTTATTATAAAATGCGCATTTTTCCCATCTCTATATAAGATATATATTTTTTATAAAATATATTTATAAGAGTTTAATATTAAAAATTTTTTAAGATTCTTTAAGATTTTATATATTTTTGAAGCTAAAATAAATTTTGCTCTTAATACAAGTTTAAATTTTTATAAATAAATTATAAAAGTTATAATAATAAAAAATACCATCCTTTATATAAGCTAAAATATTATATTAAGAACTATATCTTTAAAATTAATATTTAAAAAATTTGCTAAGAATAAGTAGATAATTTTTTTTATTAAAAAAGTTTTCTAAATTAGTCTATTTTATCTTATAAGTAATTAAAACTTTTTTATAATATAAAATTAAATACTGCTACAATATAATCTTTATTTTTAAATATTATCAAAAAAATTTTATTTTAATATATTAAAATTTAAAAAAAGTAGATCATAAGTATATCTATAGTAATTTTTCAAGCAAATTTGTCTAGAAAAGCCCTATAGTTTAAGAGATAATCTAGTTAGATCAAATTTTATAAATTTTTAAAAAATTTTTAACTATATTTATTATTTAGATAAAGTTTTTTATAAGTTTATAGAAATTTTTAGATATTCTATAGAATAGATAAGCAATATAAGAAATAAGCTTCATTAATAATTAGTAATTATTAATTTTAATAACAGAGTTGCAGAGTTTGCAGTATTTGCTTATCTATTCTATAGAACATCCAAATTTTTATATGTTTTTTTATATATATAATTTTTTAAAAATAAAATTAAATATTGTATTGCTATATTATTTTCTAAATTTGAATATTCTATAGAAGAAGTAGACAAACTTAGCAAATTTTATGACTCTAATATTAAAAATTAATGATTACTAATTATTAGTAAAGCTTATTTCTTATATTGTCTATCTATTTTATAGAATATCACTAAATTTTATATTATAAGAACCAAAAATTAACTTTTATAGCCTATTATATAATATATATTATATAATTATATATTTAGTAAAATTTCTTTAAATATATTTCCTTGAGACCATAGTTAAAAAAGTAAAATATTTACTTAAAGAGAGAGAGTATTTATAGAAAGCAAAATATATAATGCTTTTATAAGTTGAGGCCAAGTTATACTATATATTTAGAGAGAATTTATATAATGTTTGTACTTATAGAGCTTGTATTTAGAAAGATCTTACTATATTTAACAATAATATATATATAAATATGCTTTAACTAAAGATTTTTTAATTAAATACTAAATTATAATAGTATAAATAAATTTAGAATAAAATTGCCAATTTAATACTAAACAATTTCTTATAAGTTTTAATGATATAATATATCAAAAAAATAAAATAATACTAAAACTAAATAAAATATAAGTTTGAAATACGATTAAGCAAAATAATAGCAAAAACATACTATAAAGAAATATATTAACTAAACTATGCAAATAGATATTATATAAATATCAAATATATATCATAAAATATTAAAAATTATAATTATTTATAAGATTGAAAAGCTTCACGCAAAGCAATTTGCTAGCTAATTTTTTTAATTCCTAATCAATCAAATTAATTTTCTGTTAAACTTTGAATTTATTTTACTCTAATTGCCTCTTGATTAAATGCTTCTAAATATTTAGCAATTTCTCTATTAGCATTCTCTTCTTTATCTACTTTATAAACAAATTCTTCTAGTATAGAAATAGGTCCTGAATTTTGAGTAGTTTGTAGTTGATATTGTAAAGTAGAAAGTTGAGATAGAGAAGAAAATAATTGAAATTGTAAAAAAGAAATTTGCGATACTGGAGGATATATAAATTGTGGAATTGGCATGAAATATGGTGAAGTAGATTCAAAACCAGTATCACAATTTTTTATTCCTCTTGGCTTTGGTGGAGCTTGAAATATTAGATAATTAGATGGAGAATCTGTATCATTGAATCTATTAATCTAAATAATTATTTAATTTTAAACCTTTAGAATATATATTTAAAATAATTTATATATAATATTTAGTAAAACTTACTACACTACGAGCCCAAATTGTATAATGAGCATCTGTTAATTTAATATGACCTTTATTTGTAGGCCAACAGGTGCATTACATTGATTACAAAATCTTTCTTCTCATAAAATTGTATTAATTGCTCTCATACTATGTTTAGATTGATCAAGATTAGCTTTACTTGAAGTACGATTATATTTTAATCATTTTTTGTTTAATTCAGAATCTTCAGTATTATTGTTATTATTATTAAAACTCTATAAATAAAAATTAAAATTATAAAATTAATTATTAAAAAATTATTTATTTATATTAATTTTAAATATCCTAGTTGTTTTGCCTTTACGCTTTTTAGAAGTAATTGTTATTAAAATAATAACTTCTTTTTGCTTAGAAATTGCTTGAAAATACTCTTTACTAAATATATCAAAATTATTTTCATTAGTAATTTGAGTTTCAATACTTGCTTCTCATATAACTTTATATGCCAAAATATAATCCTTTTGCCATAATCCAAAATTATTTGTTAAATCTTGAACTTGTAAAAGTATTTTATCATGAATTCTATATTTAATTGTACTGTAAATGATAATCATTTAGCTGGAAATATAGTTTTATTTTGATTCTTAATATATAGCTTTACTGTAAATTCTGATATGCACTCATGATCTTCATCTTCACTAATATGAAAATTATCTTCAAATAAATTATATAGAATTGGCTCTTCATCATAATTAGAAGTAGTAATATCATAACTATTATTTTCATAACTAGTTGATATATTATTATCAATAGATGCATCACTATTATAAAATGATGTTTCTTGAGACTTGCTTGTTTCATGTTTGTGAATTAGCTCTCCATAATTAGGAGTGATAATATCGTAACTACTAGTATTATAACTAGTAGATACATTAAGAGATCTGTGAATTGGCTCTTTATAATTAGAGTTAGTAATATCGTAACTACTATTATTATAACTAGTAGATATATTATGATCAATAGATGTATTAAGAGATATTTTTTTTGATATTTTTTTTGTTGTACGTTTGTTTGTTATCTCAAAATATTTAGCACGATACCATTTTGCATTACATGAGCTACAAAAAGAAAATTGAAAATTAGGAAAAAAATCAATTTATAATAGCATATTACATTTTGTGCTTCTAAAAGATCAAGTTGCTTTGTTGAAAAATCTTCCAGGTATTTAATTTTAAAAGCCCAAGGAACTTCTTTTGTTCGATTTTTTTTATTAGGAGCTTGGGTTTTTATGCATTCGCCAGTCTTTAAAAGTGTATCTTTATTGCAATAAAGGCACTTAGTATATAAATAGCAGGTATCAATAAGATAAGTTTTGGTAGATTCCATATAGAGAATTCTGTAAATGAATAACAATTTTAATGAAATAATCATATGATCATATAATAAAATCACAATTGCAATCGCAACCACAATCACAATCATTTTACAAATATTAGTAATCAAGAGTGTCACATAATTTTGCAAAGCACAATAATTGATTAGTTGCAACTAATTCATTAAATAAATAAATAATTTCTCAATCAATTCTTTGCAACTAATTAATTAATTCCTTAGTTGATTAGTTGCAACTAATCGATTAGTCGATTAATTGATTAATTGATTAGTTGATGTCTAAAAAGTTCAGTCGATTAGTTGTTAACTAATCAACTAATCGATTAATTTCGATTTAGATTTGTATCACTAGCTAGAACATAAAGTTATTAGAATATTAATCTATTAATTTTTATTGTATAGTTTTATTTAAAAAGATTTAATCTTTAAATTCTATAATTAATTATTTTGATTGCATATAAACTTTGTATAATATAGTAATATTTAATAAATACAAAATAAATGCAAAAAAATATTGTTTATTTGTAAGATTCACAAATTTGCGAACCCGGGTCGTAACCTGGGTTGTTGTGAGATGACCCAAACCTGACCCAAACTATTTGTTGGAAGCATTAGGTTGAATTATTCACTGTATTGATTTTTACTTCACATTCTATACAGTCCAGTACGAAATTATCTTTTATATATGTATCTTTGTACCGTATTGTATTATTTCAAAATTTTATAAAATACTGTACTAAATTATCTTCTGTACAGTACACTATATATATGATATGTATATTCATTATAGTTGTGCACGATTACGATGATGAGCTAAACACATTGAGGTTGAGGCTTGAGAACACCCAGTGGTCATAAAAAAATTATGCAGATCTGATCACCGGATCATGAGAATTTTTGGTTGTGTAAAAAATTGTACAAGGGTGCTTATTGTCAGAGGAATATGATATATAATTTTCTTTTTCTTGCTCCTCTCTTTTGTGAGAAGAGTGTAATGCAAATCATTGAATCAAATTTGTCTGGTCT